CAGCAGCGCACTAGAAGCACGTTCGTCAGCAATGAAGGGCGAGAGGGTGAGGTCAGTGGCCAGCGTTCTAACCGTGGCCGCCCCTGGAATGGCATCGACCGGGCTGAGCCTGCATTGGATGTGTTCCCGAAAGTACCTCAAACTGGCATCAAAAGATCTGTACTGTAGTATGGGGCCAGAAAAGCGCCGTCGCAGACTAGCCCAGCTGACTGTGCCCAAGATGGCCCAGTTGGGCCAACTCGAGCGTTCCAAGCGAATCCTGAATCAGTTCCAAACGAGCTGGCTGCTTGAAGCCTGCAGGACAAGGGAACCGAGCCTCAGAGGGTGCCGTAGAAGACCCGTGGGGGACTGGAGGTGCTACTGGACAACGTTGGAACAATGCCGCGCTTCTACGGCAGGTCCGTGTCGTGTCGACCCCGGAGTTGGTTCCTGACACCGCTGGGATCGTGCAAACTTGAACGATCGGCCTTTTCAAGAAGGCCAGATCGTTCAAGGATGGGCCTGTTCTAGGCCACAGGCGGCGTTCAAACTTACACGCGCACGCGGGGGTCGCCGCCGGTCGGCACGACGCGAGCCTGCCGTATAGGAGTTGGCTTGCATCCCTTTCTAATGCTCCCTTTAGGCGGCGAGCCAAGGGGGGAAGTGAGAAGGGGCGTACCTTCTCAGAAGGCTCGGAAGTCCCCCGGACTTCTGAGAAGTTTTCTAAGCCTTCCCCGGACAGAAAAAACGTCTCAGAAGGCGCGAGGGCTTCCGAGAAGTCCCGCCGCCTTCTGAGAAGGCCTTCTCCTTCTCAATTCCCCCCCTCCCTCGCCGCCGACCCTCGGGAGCTGGCCCCGTCTTGGCATTGCCTCCCTGCACCACGATGCATACCGCGTGGTGCCGGGTGATCCGCCATGGTGGGAGCAGCTGGAGCGGCCTCGCGGACGTTCTGCCCGCAGCCTCGTCGAACCAGCAGGGAGGGAGGAAGGAGGAAGGAGGGGGCAGGAAGGAGGAGGCAGGAAGGAGGAGCAGTAGGGAGGGAGGGAGGAGGATGAGAGGCGTGAGGGAGGCGCCCCTCCTCCTACCCCCCCCCCCCTCGAATGGGAGGAGGGAGAGAAACTCGGGGGAGGAGGGGGGCGAGCAGCAAGGGGGGAGAGGAGACGAGCAGCAAGGGGGGAGAACTGGCGGAGGGAGGGGCGAGGGAGAGGGGGAGGCAGGGCGAGGAAGGCGACGGCAGGGTTGCAGTGGGGAGGCAGGGGAGCGGAGGAGGGCGGAGGCGGGACGGCGGGCTGACTGGGAGGAGCGGGGGGAGCAGGGGGGGGGCGAGGAAGGCGAATGCGGGAAGGCGGGGGGGATGGGAGGAGCAGGAGAGATGGGGGAGAGGAGGAAAGCGGACTGGGGGGAGGCAGGGAGCGGGAGGGGAGGGGAAGTCAGCGGAACGTGGAGGGAGGGGGGGGAACCAGAGACGCGTGGGAGAGCAGGACGGTGGGAGCGGGAAAAGGAGAGGGTGGGGCCAAGCTTCCTGCACTCGCGCCAGATCTGACATCTCACCCCATTCCCGCCCATTTCCCATTGCACTAAGCGTCTCTATCCGCGGACGCGTGTCATAGCGAACCTGGAACTCCCAAAAAGACCCCCCCACGTGGTATGCGCAGTTGGAAGAGGAGAGCTGCACCCATACGAGGGAGAAGAGGGAGGAGGGATAGGCGAATCTGCAGGAGGAAAAGAAGGATGAGGAAGGAGGAGGAGGAGGAGGACGACGAGGACGAACAGCAGCAGCAGTAACTGGAGTTGACGGAGCGGAGGAGCAGGAGGACCAGGGCAAGGCGGAGGTGGGGAAAGGAGGGAGGCGACAACAATGGACAGGGACTCGGATCCAAAAAAGTCGCCCGCGCTCGGGCGCGAGCGCTCTTCCGAACGACGTGTGCAATACGTCGATCCTACAGTGATTCCAACGCCGCAGCAGCAGCAGCACAACTTGAAGGACCAAAACCGGCCGTATTGGTTTTGAAGAACATGGAGTCTTATGACAAACAACGTGCTGAAATCTGATGTACAAATAATGCGCGCAGAGGCGCCGAGCATCTTCTGGAAAGAGTCAGGGGAGAGAAGAGGGTCGTGCTTGTTTCTGGGTTAGTCAGTGTTGAGCAAGTGTACAGAGGAGGGGGGTGAGAGCAGAAGCTTCCCCTCAACTCCCCTGCGGGCACCCCGCTACATCACCCTCCCCCTACCCTCTCTCCTTCTCAACACTTGCAGGCAGCAACCCTTCAATGGGCAAAGCCAGGGCCAGCACGAAACCGAAATGGCCGCTGTCACAGAAGGTGCAGCCAGCGGAACGACGTCCAGTGCCCGACAGAATTGCGGGACTCCGGAACGTACGATTGGGCGCTCTCGCGACCCGAAAAATGTGAGACTGATGGTTATTGAATGCCAGCAGGTGGCACGAAAACTGCTCGTCCTCCTCCTCCTTCTCCTCCTCCTCCTGATGATTTTTCTCTCTGTCATCCTCCTCCATCTATTGGTGACACTTCTCCCTCAATGGGCAGGGGGCCAAGTAGCAATCAAACTGAGAAACCAAGATCCGCATCAGAATCCAGAGCCGAACCGAATCGAAATCGGAGGCCACCGAAGTCGAACCAAACCGAATCGGAGGAGCCGAAATGCTCCCTGCAGGGGCGCCCCCCCTCACCGTTCCCCCTTCTGCGCGTGGCTGACCCCTCCCGAGGCCAGCGGGGCGCTCTGCGCCGCCAACGCTCGGGTTCGGTCGGGCATGCCCCCCTATAGGCGGATTTGGGAGGAAAACTCTAAAATACTCCAAAAATCCACCCACAAATAGCCCCCCGATTAGATGCTTGACTATGTTTGAATATCCCTCCTGGAGAGGAACAGGCCCGACTTGACGCCAACGCTCGGGCCCTTCGCCCCTCCGCCCCCCGCACCTCCACCACGGGCCGCCTGGACACCCCCGCTCGGGGGCTTCTGTGCTGGCCCGGGCCAGTGCAGACCTTAGATCGGGCATGTCCCCCGACAGGCGGCTTGTGGACGAGAAACTGCAACAAGCAAACAAATCAATCCTATATACACATATACTCACTCTGTTAGATATACATGTTTACAAAAAGAAGTCTCCATACGATGTTTGGACTATGTTTGAGCATTCCTCCTGTAGAGGGGCATGCCCGACTTAATGGAAGCCCAGGGCAGCCAGGCCCTGCAGGATCCTGCAAGGTCCTGCAGGGACCCACAAGGTCCTGCGCCCGTTTGCCTTGACCCCCGTCCCGAGGCTCCCGGCCCGCTCTCTCCTCGCTCCTTCCGGCGCTCATCTGGCAAGTCGGAACGGGCCCACCTCCTCCTCCTCATCCTCCTCCTCCATTCCTTCTCCTTATAAATAACTTCTCCCTGTCGCAGCCCGGGGCCAGGTGAGCTTTTTTATTCGGCGTCTCGGCATTGGGCGAAAAGGGGGGGGAGGGGGGGGGTCTGGCTCCAGACCTCTGCTAGGTGCGACTGTTCGCAAGAGTGCTGCCTGTGGCGGAGACTCCACCCGCTCAAAACGGGCGCAAAAAAAACAGCAAAGCTCTACTCCATGGGGGAAGGAGGAGGAGGAGGAGGAGGACGAGGAGGAGGAGGAGGAGGAGGAGGAGTAGGAGGGGGAGGAGGAGGGGGAGGCGAGGGCCCGCGCCCAGCGGCAAAACAATAATGAGGAAACGATCGCCAGTTTTGAGGGCGGGCTGGGCGTTTCGCCCGGGACTTCCTCACCACGTATGACCCGGGAGCTTAAAACTTGGCAATGGCTTCACAGATGGAGGGCGGACTTGGGAGGAAAGCTCTAAAATACTCCAGAGGTGCACAATCCTCGAACACAGTCCACACATAGCCCCCTGATTGATGTTTGAAACAGTGCAAAACCCTCGAGCACAGGGCGTCTGACTCGGAAGCTTAAAACTTGACACTGACTTCACGGATGGAGGGCGCGTCGTTTTCAAAGCATGGCTCTCACCTGAGCGCCGCGCACATTCGTCCTACCGCTTTAGAGGAGCTGGACGGATGAGGGCGAGTTGTTTCCGAAATATGGCTCTCGCCCTAGCGCAGCGCACACTCGACGCAAACATTTACAAGAGTTTCACGGACTGAGGGCGGTTCCTTCTCAAAATGTGGCTCTTGCCTGAGCGCCGCGCAAACTCGTCTTAAACATTTGCAAGGGCTTCGCGGATTGAGGGCGAGTGGCTTTCAATATGTGGCTCTCGCCTTAGCGCCGCGCACTCGTCGTAAACATTTGCAAGAGTTTCACGGGTTGAGGGCGAGTCGTTCTCAAAATCTGGCTCAAGCTTTAGGGCCGCGCACATTCGTCTGAACCTTCCTAGACAAACTTTCACGGATTGAGGGCGAGTAAGTTCCAAAATATGGCTCTCGTCTTAGCGCTGCGCGCACTCGTTTTAAACATTTGCAAGAGTTTCACGGATAGAGGGCGGTTCCTTTTCAAAATGTGGCTCTCGCCTGAGCGCCGCGTCTTCAGCATTTGCAAGAGTTTGACGGGTTCCCATGATCAACTTACCAAACATGGCGTTTCGGACGGATTCAGGCTGAGAAAAGTGCAAAAGTTCTGTTGACACGCGGCGTTCCAGTCCCAAGAATGGCGTTCTGGCACGATTCAGGATCGTCAAGACGCAGCACTCAGGTTGGTCCGTCGCGTTGGAATCGCGAGAGCAATGTGTTGGAATGCTCCAGGGTCTTCAGACAGTTGTCTTCAAACGAGGCAATGCCCTCAGTAGACATGAACCGTTGCAGGGGCCTATGAAGAGGGAACTTGGAGGGAGGGTTTACTCCAACATCGTTGATGCCTCTTTGGTTTACACTGGTCCTCCTCCTCCTCCTGCTCCTCCTCTTCATCCTCCTCCTCCCTCCTCCTCCTCCTCGGCGCCGCACCGACGTCAGGGCCCTCTAGGAGACGCCGTGCGAACATTCCCCCCGCTCTCTCTCTCTTTCTGCGCTCCCTGCGACGCTCATCTGGCACCTCGGAACAATCACTTACCCGAGAGCTCGGCGGCCATGTTCTCGGGCAGGGTCTTGTAATCGGAAAACTCCATAGAGAATGTGGCGCGACCCTTCGAGTTCGAGCGCAAGTCGGCGATGTAGCTAAACATGCCAGACAGAGGCACGTTGGCGCTGATAATCTTCATGTTGCCCCGGTCGCCAATGTCATTCACAACGCCCCGCCGGGAGTTGAGATCGCCGATGATGTTGCCCATGTAGTCTTCGGGTGTGGTAACTTCCACCGCCATGGTGGGCTCCATGATGACTGGGGCGCATTGGCCACTCGCCTCGCGCCACGAATTACGGGCGGCAACCTCGAAGGCGATTGTGGAAGAGTCCACGGGGTGAGTCGCGGCATCCACAACAGTCGTCTTCACATCCACCACCGGGAAGCCGGCCTTGATCCCGTTGAGCATCTCCATTTCGGTGCCCCTCAAGACTGCCGGGACGTACTCCCTTGGAAGCATGGAGCCGGTGCACGCGTTCACGAATTCGAAGCCCTCGCCCGCGTTCGGCTCGTAGATGACCTTGATCTTGGCGTACTGCCCAGACCCACCGGACTGCTTCTTGTGCGTGAACCATCCCTCGAAGGGCTGCGTGATCGTCTCACGGTAAGCCACCTGCGGGGCCCCCACTGTGCACTCGACCTTGAACTCGCGCCTGAGGCGGTCGACGATGATGTCCAAGTGCAGCTCGCCCATGCCCTCGATGACTGTCTGGTTGCTGTCCTCGTCACGGCTGTACCTGAAGGAGGGGTCCTCCGCAGCCAGCTTGGCCAGCGATTCCATCATCTTGTCGTTGTCCTTCGTGGTGTTCGGCTCGCAAGCAACCTTGATCACGGGCTCAGGGAACTCCATGCGCTCCAGCACGACCTGGTCTTTCATGTCGCACAGAGTGTCGCCAGTAGTCGTGTCCTTGAGGCCGACAATCGCAATAATGTCTCCCGCACCCGCTTCCTTGATCTCCTCGCGCGTATTCGAGTGCATGAGCACCATGCGCCCGAAACGCTCCTTCTGCTTCGTGCGCGGATTGATCAT